GTTTTTTAAAATCCAATGTGTGGATCACATAATATTTCAAAAATTTTAACTTTTGAGTATAGATGATCCGCACTGTAGGGATGATTGCATTATGGTTCAACTTTATATTTAGGGTGTCGTACCGAATTTACTTATTATTATTTTTATACGATAATAATAATAAAAATTCTATATATGATGATGTAAATACTGTATTTGTAAATTATTTTGTGGAATCATTTGAATAAAAATAACTATTAAACTTGTGAACACACTCATTTTTTACTTTTTGTGTGAGAGAGAATTCTACTGTTTTCGATATCAATCATTACAATTAAAACTATGTTAGAAAATAAAATAAATAATACAAACAATAAAAACATTAATAATAATAATAACAATAATAACAATAATAATAGTAGTAATAATAATAATAGTAGTAATAATAATTGTAGTAATAATAACAATAATAATACTAATAATTGTTTTTTCTATGGAACTTTAATGTTTACTCAAGTGATTGAAAGGGTATTAAATAAGAATAAGAATGATTGTTTAGTTGACTTAAATAGTGGAGTCACTGCTATTTTGAAGGTCGACCATTATTAATTGTAATTAAATAACATAATTTTAAACTTTGAATTTAAACTTTGAATTAAACTATTAATTTAAACTACCGGTTAAACTTTAATTGTGTAGGGATATAAAAGATTGAAGGTAAAGGATGCATCATATCCAGCAATAATAAAAACAGATAATGATATTGACACAGTTGAAGGTATACTAATGAGAGGCTTTAGTGATAAAGATTTCGATAAATTGGACAAGTTTGAAGATGAAGTAAGTAAATTACTATAGCATTCAGTTCAAGTCGATTCATAATTTAACAATAATAATTTAATTGGTATTATTTGATTAGGACTATGATAGAATAAATGTCGATGTTTATGTAGCAGGGGAAGGAAGAGATTCAAAAGAGCCAATCAAAGCACAAACTTATATTTGGATAGCTTCTAAAGATTTGTTAGAAGATAAAGATTGGAGTCCTGAATATTTCAAAGAATACATTAGAAGTTGGAATGAGAAAGATTTTGAAGAATTGTAATAAGGTAAATAAATGCCAAATGTAAATCTTGTCTATTAAAATCTTGGGATCATAATAATTTCAGGGTTCTGCTAATACTAACTAATAATACCAGTGGAATAGTGGAATGTATTTAATTATCTTTTACGAATTAATTTCAAAGCGACTGACCCATACATGTGTCATTTGATCATTTTCATTGGCTTGGAAGAAATTTGCTGCAAGAATAAAAATGGCGCCAGTACAATTTTGGATGTTTTCAAAAAGTGGGACTTTAATAACAAACGGAAGCTTTTAACATTAAAATAAAATCTTAAATTTCTAATTCCTTTTCAGGGTATGATGTAAATTAGAAAGTGATTCAGAGGCTTAAATTACATTTGATTTATTTTACTTTTTGACAGAGTTTTCACCTATGTTTGAGTTCTTTCTGAAAATAGCATCATTCACCTAATGATGATGGCAAATTGCAAATCATCAGTGCAAGGTTTCAAGTCATAGAAACTTTTAGTTTTTTAATCATGCTTGATAAGACAGACAGACAACATATATAAACTCTCGTTAACCCCCCCCAGCCAGATAATGATGACGATGGCTCTCGATAAGCCGTTCCACGTAATAATATTTACCATTTTTAATTATTCAATTATTAATGTTGAAGATTTTAGAAAAACAAAAATAAAATAAAAGTCGTGAAATAAATTTTTATTAACGGTGGATAATTCTTTCATTTTTATATATCACGCGGTTAATCTCGATAAGTCGGTCTTCTCAATAAATGACCGACTCATCGAGTTTTACCTAATCATTCCTTCAACTGTGGTTTTTTGTAAAATCACATTATTTGATAACTCGGGTCCTTTGACAAGTCGGATCGTCATGCCTAGCCACCCATGTTTGACCTATCAAGTTTACTATTAATATCATTATAAGTTCTAATTATAACAAACTACTATGCCGAACAATCCTGGGGCATATTAATATACTCACAATTATTTTAAGTTACAAGACATTTATTTGTAAATAGATGACATTTCGTAAGATTCTTGTTTACCCTTTTTTATTGTATACAATAACAATACTGTAATAGCAGCAATAATTATAATTTTCGTTTCTCAAAAATGGGATAAAAAGTGATAATATTACTCGTCAGCATTGTATACTATTTATTTGATAAATTAACATTCGCCGTTGGAGGTAGCAATAATTCATGTTAAAGCTTGCAGTACAAGGCCATCTGAAAGGGAAAATACATGGTTGCCTTAAATTATTTAACCAGGAAACAAGAAGGCGATTGCATAGAATGTCTAATCCATTTATTCATCAGAAACAAGTTTTAAGGAACTCTACAACTTGTAATTGTGTATAATTAGTAGAGGCAAACTTTTCCACTACCACTTGGATGACAAGACGATGAAACCTCGTCCTACACAGAAAGGCGACTCGGATTTAAAGCTATCGTGGACTTATTTTCTCCAACTCTGCTAAAATCTTCTTCACCTTCTTCACCTTCATTCATTATCTTGACTCTCCATACCCCTGAATTGCTTCTGTCGGGGGTTTTTCTTGGGATTGGTTTTTTGTTGGTGGAAGTCCTTGATAGCGGAGGTAACAATTTCTTTATTCTCTCTTTCAGGAAATTCACCAATTTCAATTATCCGAGTACTGCTCAACGCTTTTGTCAAATAGGTGTTTAAACATCTTCCCAGTATTTCTTTTCACCAACTGGCTTACTTGATATGTCAATTATTTTGTCAATTTTAGATGAATTCGATTAAGATTGTTTGCAATTTGATTTTACGTGGATGATAACAAAGATAATTTTTTCCTACATGTTATAAATAAAGATTTGGATTTTTATATTTGTTATTAAATAGTAAAAAGAATTTTAAAAATTTTTATTACTAATTATTTTTGGTGGTCATCGACGAAGGAACATTATTAGTGTTAGTGAGCTGTGTTGTTTATATATCTTTATTTAGAAATTATTACCAAATCTACTCACTAATTTGACTTTTGTAATTTCCTTGTGCATAATGCATAATCTTGATTTTTTTGCAGTACGCCCCAAATAATGTAAAGAGTATCGAGCGTTTGTTTATTTAAATAATAAATAAATAATAACAACAATATAGTGATAGTGATAATGATGATGATAATAATAATAGCAATAATAAAATAATAGTAATAGATAGATATTTATGAAGATTGATGATACTTTTAACCTTAATATTATCTGTTTATACATATAAAATATAAAACAAACATTACTGTAATCGTAAATTACATAAACATTTATCCGAATTTGTGTGTCTCATTCTCACATTGTCTAAATTTCTGTATTAATAATGAAATACTATGTGAAAGTCATAGGATAATTGTGAATCTACATTTGAATTGATATCAAAATGGTTGGTTTGTCGAATCATCAAAAAGATCCTTTTTATTCGTTTACAACACATAATTAATTAAACATAAATGTGTCACTATGAAGCTAAAACCTTAATTAAATCCATTTTAGGTTAAAAATATCCCTTGAAAATTTTTTAATAAAAAAAATTCATAAATAAAAATTTCTTTTTTTATTTTTTATTTGATTTTTCACTTTCCAAATAATAAATATTTCATTACCCCCTACCAAAAAAATACCTCTTTTACCTTCCTTCTTCCTCTTCAGTTATCCACAAAATGTTCGTCAAAGCTCTATATGATTATGATTCAACCGAAATTTCAGGTCTATCATTTAAAAGAAATGATATTATTCAAGTGATAAATCAACTTGATAGTGGTTGGTGGGATGGAATATGTAATGGAATACGCGGTTGGTTTCCATCTAATTATATTACAATGGTTAATGATAAAGAAGGACTTTATCATCTAAGTGTTAATCAGCAAATCAAAACTATTCTTGAGGAATCAGTTCTTGAAGAGGAATTGGTATGTATTAATTATTTGGTGTGGGAGAAGGTGGAACGGCGTGATATTATTACATATATTTATTTATATATAAATAAATCACATTTACATAATTTCACTAATACATAGCCATTTGGTTGGGAGAAAAGACAATCCCCGGATGGAAATGCTTTTTATTATAATAAACTATCTAATGTATTTTCATTTGATCATAATCCAATTGATGATGATGATTATTCAGATGATGATGATGACAATGACGATGATGATGATGATGATGATGGTGATGACAATGGTTCAGTTGGAACTACAAATTATGATACTCCAAATGAATCCTTTGAAAATAGTAATAATCCACAAGGTGCTAATAATAATAGATTATCTTCCTCCTCATCCAAATCATCATCCTCTAAATCCTCGTCATCATCACACTCTTCTTTTTCTTCTACTTTATTAAATAAACAAAAAACATCAACGAACGTTAAACACACAAAATCTCCCTCAATAACATCGACATCTTCTACATCAAGTAAAAAAAAGAAACCTCAATTATCAAATATTTGGGTTTTAAAACATTCTTCTTCAGACAATAATATAAATGGTAATAATGATAATAATGATAATGATAGAAATATTTATAGTACAATAGGCGAAGAAGATGAGAGCGTGCGGCCTTTTGAGAATGAAGAACAAGTAAGTGTGATACATGCATATCTCTATGCATGTGTATGCATGTTTGATGCGCATATTTATTTATTAAATGATATTTTTATTTTTCCACAAAATGTTAGAATTTGTCAGAGAATTTTGAAATTAAAGAAAAAGTCGGTGAAGAATTAAGATGGAACCATTCAAATTCTTCATCAACAACAAATTATACTCTAACAAGCAACATCAGAAAAACGACTTCGTTATCTTCTTTACATCACAACAAGCAACAATATGAACATTATGAGCAATGCGATCGTAATGATGACATTAATAACAATCAATCTTATTCTAACAGCATAGATCCTAATAACAACATTATCAACAATCAATTATTATTGCAAAATCCGGACAACGAGCATTTCACTTGGGACTCATTATTGAATAACGTCATCTACTCGATAAATCAATTAACAGCATCGGCAAATGACACCAACAAACACGAATTCACGCAAAACATTGACACCGTTAATCGAAGTATCAGAATCATGTTGTACGCGTCAGATACAATCAATCGTGACTCGATAATATTCAAAACTTTCCCCAGGCTATCCAAATTCCATAACGATGTTACCTCCTCGTTGTTCAAATTGATTTTGTTGGCTAAAATCGCGTCGAACGAATGGTCGCCGCCTGGTTCGACAGATAGGATGATTCAGGAATGTAAATCGTTGTTGGATGCAACTAAACAATTTGTAAATATTTCAAAAGATTTGATTGTAATTAAGCGTGTTGATCCTAAAATACCAAGTAGTAGTAATTATGGCAGCAATAATAATTATGCTTGGAATCACAATTCCGATTCCAATCTTAATACATCAGTTATAACTGATCATTTTCGATCCAAGAAAATTCTTTTATCATCAAGTCTAACAGTTTTGTTAGATCAATCCTCAAAATCCATTTCCAAATTAATCTTTCTGGTAAACACTCAACTCAAACAATCATCGTCATCTCTATCATCCTCATCATCCTCATTATCATCCTTGCAACAACAAACTCGAGTCCAAGTTGAATACAACTTTAACATTAATCATAGCATAATGCATGTTCATAAAATTGTTTCGCAAGTAGGTCAATTCTTAGCTTTGATCAAGAATATTAATATATCGAAATTAAACGAGACAAGCAACAATTCAATACAAGAATTTGAAATTGCAAGACAATCATTGTACAATAATGTTGCTTCTATTGCAATTTTGACTCAATTCGCCACCAAGATCAATGGCATCAATGACAATAATATCAACAAGACTATTGATCAGTTATTATTTGCAAATTTGGAATTAGACAAATCGGTCAAAAACCTTTGTTTGGCTGTAAAATTTTTGATCGAAGAAAAAGAAAATCAAGATGATTCCAGGAAATTATTACTTTTAAAAAAGAAGAACGTTGAGATTAATGAAAAAGAAAACGATGATAATATTAATAATCTTGCAAGATCTACAACAAAAGCAACACCTCCAGTCGCTACTACTACTCGGGCATCTTCTGCACCACCAATGCTTGCAACTTCGCTATCAACGCCATCATCGCCATCATCACTATCATCATCATCTACACTAATAAATGTTTCAAATTTATCATCATCCTCGTTGCCATCATCACCTATTGATTCACCGGCAATGAAATGCTTACAAACTGTACCAGAGAATGATATAATATCAATAAGTTATAATAATGATAACGATAATGGAGGTAGTAGGGTGGATAATAGGAAAGATGGTAATGAATCAACAAAAACTTCCAATCACCCAAAAGCTTTGGTTAAAATTAATACATCATTTGGTAATTCTAATAAAAAAATTGGCATTTCTTCGCCACCAATATCACCAATAACAACAATTGATTCTGCTCCTACTAATAATGCTCTAATTAATAATAATAACAATAATAATAATAACAACAACAACAACAATAATATGCAAAATTATGAGAAGCCATGGTTTTTATGCTATGATTACGATATATCAGAAATGTGTTTCAATGCGGACAATTTAGTAATTGGCGGCACGTTGAAAGCATTGGTCGAACGATTGACAATGCACGATTTGCTAGACTCGAATTTCATAGCAACATTCCTGTTAACATTCAGATCATTTTGTACAGCTGATGAATTATTTGATTTGTTGGTTGAAAGATTTATTATAAGTCTACCAGAAGATAGAGAGATTTCCAGGGAGGAGTTTGAAATTTGGACCGAAAAGAAACAGATGCCGATTAGGATTAGAGTTTTCAATATTTTGAAAAGTTGGTTGGAAAGTTATTATATTTACGAGCAGGATAAACATTGCTTAGAAAGAATGAAAGAGTTTGCTAGCACTACAATGAATCTTTATATGACTAATGCTGCTACTTCTTTACTAAAAGTTATTGAAAGAAGAGTACGTATAAAATATGAATTATATTGGTTGTGTGTATATTAAGCAAAAATACTCTTTTATTTTTTATAATGATGATGACATACTATTTTTGTTTTTGTTATAGCAACAACAACCACATGTAGCAACATTTAAAGAATTGATACAAACTTTTTCAGCACCACCCCCACCACCGATTCTACCCAGAAGTCTAAAACGAGTCAAATTTTTATATTTGGATCCTTTGGAAATTGCAAGGCAATTCACAATTATCCAGAGTAAATTATATAATAAAATTAGACCTGTCGAGTGTTTGGATAAAGCATGGAGTAAGGAAGAAGGTGGTGATTTAGCCGTAAATATTAAAGCCATGATACTTAACAGCAATCAAGTAAGTGATCGATTTGTTGGTTGGTTGATTCTAACCGTATCTCACCATCAAATAATTTGGTTTTTTTTAGACAATCATATGGGTTCAGAAAATGATATTGAGTCAATCGGAAGTTCGTAAACGATGTTCAATAATTAAACATTTTATATATATAGCTGATAAGTGCAAACAGTTGAATAATTTTAATACTTTGATGTCAATTGTATCCGGATTAAATTCTTCGCCGATATACAGATTGAGAAGAACATGGGAAACTGTGCCGGCAAGACATATACAAACTTTTGAAATGCTGAAAAAAATAATGAATGCATCTAAAAATTTTTCAGAGTATAGAGAAATGTTGCACAGAATTAATCCACCCTGTGTTCCTTTCCTTGGTAAGTGATAATTTAGCAAGGAAGAAAGAAAAATAAATAAACTAAAAATTACGTGATTTCTGATTCAGGCAGACAGACGCTAATTAATTAATTACTTACTTATTCAGGCGTGTATTTGACGGATTTGACGTTTATAGAGGATGGGAATCAAAACACATTGAAAAAACAGAAAAATCTAATTAATTTTTCCAAAAGAATGAAGACTGCAGAGGTCATTCGTGAGATACAACAATATCAAGTGCCTTATAATTTGAGTCCGGTGCATGAAATTCAATTGTTCTTAACAAGTCATATTGAAGATAGCAATGATTCTAGTGATTTTTACGACAAAAGTTTAGCAATTGAGCCAAAGTAAATATATTTTGTTGTTGTTGTTGCTTGCTTGCTTGCAAAATCGCACGCAATATTTTAATCATTTAATCATGAATGGATGATTAATATTGACTTTATTTTTCTTTTTGGTTTGTTCAGGGAACGAGAAGATGAAAAGATTGCTAGATTACTCCAAGAATCTGGATTCTTATAAATATTCCCATAGTTTTTTTTTTATATTTAATTATAGAATATATATATATATATATATATATACCATACATATATATATCATACATATGTATATATATGGTACATGTTGTGTTTTTTTTTTTGTATTTTTATATTTATTTGTAAAAAAAAAAAAAATTCTATATTTACTGTTTGTTTGTTTATTTTTCACCAAAAAAAATATTCGAAACAAAAAAAAAAGTCACGATATGCGTGTTAAATTAATTATAAATTTATTATTCATATATATCAAGTAAGAACATAAAGAATTTAATATTATTTCTTGGTGCAAATACGAAACCAACGGTTTATTATATAATCATCTCATTGACGCACCAATTAAAGTGGGATTGGATTTTGGATTAACCGCGTTAATAACATTAATGCAATATTGAATTCAGCTGATCAAATCAATCAATCCATCAATCCATCAAAAGAAAAAGGGTCTACATTTTGTGGCAAGATTTTCAAATTTGATTATTAAAAATCTTAAATATAATCTTTTTCTCAAAGCAGAATAAGTGGTGTGTTTTTGAATGTTGATTTATGCATAATAATAAATAATTTAAAAAACATTATCATCATTATAATTACTGAAAAGAACGGCTTTTAACCATATTTGGCAGTTGTAAAGGAAGTTGTTAACTGTGAATCCCGAACAGTTTCCTAAAACAAACATGAATTAAATTATGTGTATGAGTACGATGTACATGTATGCTGTTGATATAATATAAATAAATAAAACTCTTAAAAGACAAAGTAAAATGGAAATTTTGATGCAGATCTGTTAACAAAGTAATCACCAAAACTAAAAAGAGAATAATAACAATTATTGTTAGCGAAAACCACAAAAAAAAAATTTACATGTAATTTAAAAATGCATTTTGGAAATAAAATTTTTTAATTGATTAAAAAACGAAACGAAAACAAGGCAGACAAACAAAACAAACAAATAGTAATTTAATTTTAAATAAACAAAATGCATGGAGATAAAAAGATTGTGTATGATTCAAACAAAGATAAGTATGAATAATAAATAAAAAAGCAATTCAATCAATGCCAGTCAACTTTTAAAAGTTGAAAATAATGGCAGGGCAGACGTTATAGTGTGTGTTGGTGGTGTGTGTGTTGGTGGTGTGTGTGTTGGTGGTGTGTGTTGTGGCGTGTGTGTGTGTTAGTGTGTGTGTTAGTGTGTGTGTGAATTTGAAAATCATAATCACACCAAATTAATCAAAAAATTTATAATTAGATTAAATAACACATTGGGATACCCAAACAGTGTTTGGAGTTGTTACACTTTCTATATTTAAAAAAAGATTAGGATGAGAGTAAAAAAAGCATAGTTGAACAGCCTTGTTTTTTCTAATTTTGGTTAGATGAAACAACAACAACAATATTAATGATAAGCAACAAGAATTAAAACGAATTGCGAATGTATTATCGATGCGTTTTGGCAGTGGTAACTATTGTAATTATCATAATTATCGTTATTATAGCGGTGACGACGATGACAGGAACGATTTTCGCAAGAGAAAGTCTACGGAAAATGAGTTCCTGATGATAATTTATTGTTACATATAAGTTAATGTCTATTATTATTATTTACTATTACACAATTTAAAGTTGGGTCTATAAAAAAAAATTTTTTTTGAAAATCGGAGATTTTTCACCGATAATTAAAAACAAATTCGCGTCCTCTTTGATGTTCTACCAATTTTGGAAATAATGGACATTTGTAAAATATTTGGGGACACTAAATTTACTTTACACTTGATTGTTCTAATTATTTATGTCGAAAATTCGAAAATGTAAAAAGTCTTATAAATACAATTTGAATTTTTCATCTTGGTTGTTTTTGTTTTTTTTTTTAATATTAAACAAACTTCTTTAATCGTTCAATTCATTTAACAATAAAAAAATCATTTTAACCAAATCCCATTTTAACCATAATAAATAATTTTAGTATCTTGATTTCTTCCAGTTAAAGAAAGACACTTATTTATAAAATTATTAATTTAGTGGTTCCATTATTAAAAAAAAAAATTTTTTTTTAAATAAACAACAACAAAAAAAAAAAAAACCAAAATGGACGACTATATTCTTAATAATATTGAAAAATATCCATTTATTTTTGAAAATGTCATAGACAATAATTGTATTATTTTAACTAATGCTGTAAATTATAATAATATTAACAATATTAACAACAACAATGACATCAATTATAATAATAATTGTCATGGCGGTACCATTATCGAAAATAGCTTAATCATTTCCAAGAACAATTTAAACACTGCATTGGCTCGTAAGCCCGTGATTCACGAATTTCCAAATATTAATCTACCTTTTCCTCCTGTTATTAAAGCAAAGGATTTTATTGATCCCGAAACCAATTCAGCCAACACTTCCTCCACCAACCACGAGGCTGCCACTGTCAACACCAACACCACTGCTATTTATAAAAACAGCAAAAAGAAAATCAATAAATTAACTACAAAAGCTCCCAACAAATTTTTTATTTACCGTAAAGCTTGGGTTATGGAATTAAGAGAAAGGGGGTTTCAATACCCAATGACTGAAATTTCTGGCTTCATAGCAAAGAAATGGCAAGAGGAGACTCCAGAACGTAAAAACGCCTACGTTAAAATTGCTATGGAAGCAAAAACCCTACATAAACAAAAATTCGGTGATAAAATCAAATATAATAATAACAATGATTTCACCTCGGCTTCATCTCAACCTAAAAAGACTATCAAAAAAAAATCAAAAGTTAACAATATCAGCAATAATAAGAAATTAAAAAAATCTTCTTCCCAACTTTATATTCATAATAATAATAATAACAATAACAATAACAATAACCATAACAACAACAACAATAATAATAATAATATAATATTGTCATCACAATCACCGTTAAATGTCGTTCCCTCCTCCACTTCTCCCTCATTATTATATAATCCTCAATCATCATCACCTTTAATGTTTCTTCACAATTCATCAAACATTTCATACTTTTCTCCACAAATTTCACCATCAACTCCAATTAATCAAATCAATCAGTTTAGCCAATTTAAACAGCCAATGGTATCGTTACATAATCATACAACCATTCCTTCTTCTTCACTAATATTACCTACCCCTGGGACCACTCCAACTCTTCCTACTCCTATTGCTTCTCCAATACTACCCCCATCTTCTTCATACATTGATGACAATTATTTTAACGAATTCATCAATATTGATAATAATACAACCATCACCTCTAACAATAACAACGAGGAAAATTTACCATGTGTTTGTGATTCACCTTCAACCGTTCATAGTAGTAGTGAAAATGGTGATTTGGAGGAAATTGATCCGGATTTATTTACTTTTTTAATTTAGTAAAAGGTTGATTGCTTTATATGTTTTAGGTTTTTTTATGTTTTGTATATAACTTGTATAAATAATTTAGTAAAAAATTTTAAATTAATTTTCATTTTATATATATATATATATATATTACCAAGAGTTAATTAAATTTTATATATCTGTCTGTATATTTTATTTATATATTTATTATTTATAATAATAGATAATTATAACAATGATGTCAAATAATAAAATAATTATTTTGAATTATTAATATAACATATGCATTCTGTCATCTTTGTTGTTAATTTTAATTTCTTTCATCCTAAACTTCATCATGATCACACACTTACAGAAGTTGATCACGAAAAGAGGCTGATGCCATACCTCTTTTATATCCCCCTGTGGATATAATTGAGGTGGGATATAGCTCAAGCAGTCGATCAATTCACGTGATTTTTAATTTAAAAAAAGACTTTTGTTATTCCATGATATATGTACATCACCCCAAAACAAAAACGCCACACAAATGTAAAGATATTCTGCCGCCACCAAAAAAAATGTACTCATTAAATACAGCATGGTTAAAAATCTTCTCATTGGCTAGCTGTTTAATTTATATGCAGATCACAATCATAAGGAGTATTCAATGAAAGCTTTTCCTAATTTTTTATTGGAAGAAGATCTGAGGGAACAATTAAAATTTATTATTATTCTCAATAACAATTTAGAAACGATTTTCTAAAATTTCAAAATATTATTGATTATGTAGATCAGTCCAAATAATAATCCTGATCTCCATCACCTAATAAGGCACTGTCAACAAGGAACATCTTTGAATACCCCTATAATAAGTTACACGGATGAAATTGTAGCTAAAAAAAAAAAATATAGATCTTTTTCAATATATCACTTTGACCAATATCCGCGCAATCATGCATCCTTATTTTTTATTATTATATAATAATAAGAAAACTTACATAATCTTTTCATTTAAAACAATAAAATGTGTGGATAATTTATTACTATAAATCACGTGACAAAATAAATTTTGAAAAAGATATTAATATTATAACAGTATAATCGTATAAGAACTAAAAATATACTATCCCGAGAAAAAGTTTACTACTACTACTGCATTACACTATCAAGTAAAATTCTACCATAACAAATTTCTTTTTTATTATTATTAATTTTTCTATAACGAATATCTTTATTACTATAGTGAACAAAGGTACAAAATACTTGCTTATGTGACAAGAAATTCCATTATAGAGAGCGAACTGTGTCTTTATATTGAAAAAAATATAAATTTAGAATTTAATGTTTAAAATCAACTTTTAAAACCTCAAATCAACTCCAATTTAACTCTGTGCCATGCATATAAATTTACCACTGTGTTTCGAAATGTTTTATGGTGATAATCCGGTTTATTTTTTGTCAAACCGGATTTAGATTTTTGGAACATAATAATAACAATCTTTGTTTTATTATTATGCAAATAATAAAGTTTATAAAAAAACAAAACTTCAGTAATGAAGATGAACTGCTCTGATACGTACATCAACCCTTGCATTTAAATTCATTTAAAAATCAAATCACGAATACCATTTTGGCACTAGATGCATCAATCTTTGAATTCGGATGCAATTTTTTGGTCCACAACTTGCAGATAGCAGATCTATCTATTTACATGTTTTTGTAATAATTTATTAGACTATTCAATAAATGTACCATTTGGCCACAAAATGGTCTATTTTATCATTGCACAAAAGGATGTTAGGGTGCTTCGCATCCTATTCAAAATTAATTTCTTTATGCATAATAATTCTTATTTTTGTTATTTCGTTCATTTTTAACTTCAAGTATTTTTAATTAAAATAAAGTAATACATTCAATTCATTATAATTAGTTTTTATATATTATTTATTACTTTGTTGCTTGACGAACTTCAAAAACAACGTGATCATACAATTTTTATTGCTTCTCAAAATTGACTCTATAGCGCAGAAAGTTGATAGGGACCAAGTGTCTTGCACTATATTAAATACTATTAGTATTATTATTATTGGACATTTTGGAATTTATTTTCTTACCAGATTCAAATCGGATTCAAATCTCTTTTTTGATGTCAAAGAACCGGATACCCGTTTTCAACCCGATTTACGAATTCAACCCGTATCCAAATTCTAGTATTCATGAATTATATTTGAAGATGATAAGAAATTTTCATCTTTGTTGTTTTAGAGCTTTGAATTGTCATTTGGCAAAGAATTACAACAGTTGACCAATTATTATTGATCGAAATTGTATCATAAAAGTGGTGAATAAATAAATATTAAGCCGATAACAAAACTTCACCAAAACCACAAAACCTCAAACTTGGAAATGCAATATTAATATATTTTTGACGCGACACGAGATCAAATTTAGAAATAATCATCATAATCTACGTTTTGAAAAAAATATATCCATCACATACATCACATACGATAAAGCTGGTTGACATTGGACAATGTCTACCATGTCCAATACCTATGCAATAAATGGACAATTACCTCAAGAAGATATCTGGAAGATTTTTTGTACAGTTGGGCAATGACTCAAATTGCAGAAACGTAAGTATGCTGTGTATTAACACTTGAGTAGATCACTACAATCTTAAAATTGAGAGTAATATTTAGCTACTGTTTCCCATTCCTAATACATATATGTCCATATAGAAATTCATCTACTTTTGTCATTTTCCCATATCTTGCAAAATGCAATCCGAGAAATGCTCAAAAAATAAGACAGGCATTCGGTTACAACTTGCAGAAACAACACTAACACCCAAGATTACGCTCCTCCAAAAATTTAAATACGTAAATCTAAAAGAATAAAATATATAAATATTTTTTAGACATATTTCTTTATTATTGTTATAAAAAACAATTTAAAATTCCTTTATTTTCTTATAATATTCTTTACCAGGATGAACGATCTATCCAATACAATCCTTCACTTTAAGTCGTAGTTATAAATTGCAATTCTATTTATTTCCATTGTGTTTTACATTACCTCAAGATTGGTAGCGACCCAAAGACAATTTCACTTTGCATTTTTCAATCTTATAATCACAGATCATATTAATATAAAAAACATCCCCCATATAATAATCCATGTAGATAATCAATCCATTCTAGAGTCCAGATGTCATTTAATTTGATTTCATTAAAATTGACGAGTAAAGGCATAAGCCAAACCATTATTTGATAAACTTTTCCTCTATATATTAATACTACTGTTATCAGGAAATTTTTTCTGACATAATTATTACACTATTTACGTAAGTTTACGGCGGGTCCTGTAATATTATGCAAAAATCATACAAAAATTATGCAATTATTACATCGAATGTAAATATTACATAATTTTCTATGCAAATATTACAACTTTACATATTAAAATTTATGGATGTAATATTACGGCGGGGAAAATTTCCTGATGTACTTCTAAATCCAAAAGTTTTTCTACATCTTCATCAACTTCTTCTTTCTCACCTTTTTTGTCTTTCGTCAGTTTTAGTGAATTTTCACAGTAGGTTATATGAAAAACTATTTTCAGCATTTCGGATTCGGCAACGATCATTTGTTAAAAGGGCAATTATCTATGATCGAGAGCAAGCAACTTAATTTTATGTTAACAAGCTATTAAACTAACAAATTAATAGTAGTAGCTGCTGAAATCATATACGAAATTATTTGAACTCTTTAATCTGAAATAAATTAAATATCAAAATCAGAATATTGAAAAGTCAATGCAATTTCAACAAACAACTATACTCTCGATAATAAATTTTGGCATTTCTGATCGATTATTTTGGTCAGTTTATTATTTAAAAAAGGGAAGGCTCTTAAATAATAATAATTTTTTTTTAAAAAAAAGGTTTCCGTATTTAAAAACATCTTTTCTTGATCTTTTAAACACTACATTGATCTCTAGGGTTGTTAATGGTCCGGTCCGATCTGGTTCAGTCCAAATTCTACCAGTCTAACCAGAGAACCGCGGTCCAGACTGTAGATAGGGTTTCTATTTGAATAAGGAAAATTAAGTTTGAGATGTATTACGATAACTGTTCGTCATTCACAGACAATGAATGAATTTTGAATTAAGATATATATATAAAACTGTCTAGTATATTCTTTTTGAAATATAATAATAATTTGAATTTAATTATGATAATAAAAATAATATTTTTCATGATAAAAAAAATTCAACGGTACAAACGGTCATTGATACCTATGACCCGACCGACCCAGTCCGCTGTCCATTCAGTCTGGACCGGACCATAAACATCCCTATTGATCTTTCAAATAAATGTAATGGTAGTTGTGAGTGCTTTCTTACCTATATATTTCGACCTCAAGAGAATGCCCAAATTCTGTATATTAGTATGCATTCATATTCATATTCATGTATATGATTGATTAATGAAATAGTATAAAGTGTCTTTTTTGTAAACATTATTAGTTACTCAACTAAATGAATGGACGAATCAACGAATATTAAAAAATGGTAAAGTTAACCTTTTTTCAATTTTTCAAAATGAAATTTTTCTTTGTGCGAGTAGTTTAGGCTTAGGGTTAGGAAATAGTAATGTGCATATTAATATATACAATTGTTTAGAACTTTTCGCAAAAGAGGAAATTATCCAAATAATAAAATGGTCAATTCTTTATTGTGAATGCTTGGCTGCTGTATCCAATATTCTATTCCACAACTTGATTGGAGTCGATGGCTTTATTTTTTAAAACAATTTTATAGTTATTATCGTAATAATAATAACAATTATTATTATTATTAATGTCCTTACTTTAACGATGGAGAATAATATTGATTGGAATTTTTCTCGAAAATGTCATTGACACTAAATAATTCCAATAATTTTGTTAAAGCAATTATCCTTAAATTTCCATTTTTTGCTTTTACGGCCAGATTTTTAATTGTGTCGTTGTAAAGGATTGACGAGTCGAATATGATCGCATTAATATCTGTATTAGTTGTTGTTTTTGTTTTTGTTGTATTTTTCTTCTCAATGTTTTTTTCAGCATCTTTTTCCCTTTTATTCTCATCTTCATTCTCATCTTCTTCACCATTTTCGTCTTCTTCTTCCTTATCCTCTTCTTTTAAAAAATAATCAATTGGAATTACTATGACATATTCCAATTGTAAAGTTGACTCTAATGTATCTTTAAGATGATTTGTTTTTTCGTCGATATCATAATCTTTAATTTTTGACAATGATGGTTTAATTATAGCGATTTTAACTGTTGATCTAGGATCTATATCGACAATAGGAGATAAAAGTTCTTTATCGTTTATGTAGCGTAATGGAATTGGTTGAATATCATTTTCACGATCATTCTCATCAACTATGGATTTTAAATTAAGTTTGATGTTAAATTTATAAGTTACTAGTTCATAAACTTCTTCCGCTTCATCTTTTGGTTTTTCCTCATGTTGTCGTTGTTGCAATTCTCCATCAGAAGATGGTGGGGACGAGATGGTTTTATGAAGTTCGAATTCACCATTAATACTTTGAACAAGTGTTTTAGAAAAATCTATCCCATATTCAAATTCATCAGCTGAATTTGTGGTTGAGTAAAGACCTTTAAATAATATTTTTATTTCGATTCTACGTATGCGAGTTTCTTAATCATAATGTATTGTTGAAACCACCAAGCCTATTTTACCGGTTCCAACTGTCAATTTTAAATTTTTTTATTAATTGGAAATTTTATAAATTGTTGATGATAATAATAGTATTATTTATTTACCAAACTACCTAATAGCCGAAGAAAAGTAAATTAAGTTAGTGTGCATGAGGAAATTTATTATTGAAAAAATAATAATATAATAATACATTTATAATTATTTGTTTAATGATTCCGATATCAGCATGAAAAATTGATTGATTTAACGGAATGTCGTAAATAAAATCAAATTCAACGTCCTTCTCTTCAAACAATAATTACATTCCTGCGTATTGCATAATATTTAATTGAATGATTTAATGGTAGTAATAATCACTGATTTCTTCGACAGATTTATAAAATCAAATCGTGACAATCTGATCCAAGAGCCATTATTAGATAATAATAATAATAATAAGATTATATATTAATTGTAGATATAATTTACCATCATGTTTCTAATCAGTAAAATAATAATAATAATAATAACTTTATAAATCAAACAAAATCAACAAATCAAATATTTTATTTACCACATTAGCAACGCATAAAATATGATTTGCCATATGAAGAACATTTGCAGAGACCTTCTGAACGGTGAGAATATATGCACGCTGAACACGACTCAGTTGACTAGAAAGTAAGATTTGTGCACTAGAAGAAATCCCATGAATTGGTGTTCTTATTTCTACCGTATCGAAGAAACAAAGCATAATTTTTATAGTGATGAAAAAGTTTTTATTGGAATAATTATAAAATTAAGTTTACCATGACTAATGACTCGTAAAAACATTGTTCTTTTCGTAGCTCGCAACCAAATAAATTGCATGCGTGCGTGTTTAATAAACATAATCGAATTAATTCTGACTTTTATTTAATTTTTTGTTTAAATATTAATTTATGTACATCCTGTGATATTCTTCTTTGATTATGTTTTTCGTCCGAAAGAGTTGCAACTAACGAGAATATAAAAGCTAAAACCATCAAATTTATCATGAATCGTGACACATATCCAAACCAAAATATCGCATCGAAATTTTTATGACGAAATTGCCTAACAATTAATCGATAATTGTATTAATATAAATTTATAATAAATATTCTTTTATTTAAAAAAAATATTATTATTTATTACCAAATGCAAATTAATCCAGAATAAAATATATAAATTGAAAAGGCTTTATAGTAACCAAATTTTCGATCTGCAAAGACGTAACTAATAAAAATACAATAACAAGTTTATTTTATATTTTCCCGGAAAATATGTATGTAACTTGTAAACTTTGAGTACCCCTCCCCATTCCTAAGCATATATTTGCTTTTTAAAGAAAATTATTACCTGAACGGGTGATCAAATATATTACGTCTTGCCCCGTTGTCATTGCTCCTAAATATTTTTTTAATAAAAGCCTTTAATGCGTAAAAATTTATAAACGATTTTTCAATAGAATTCAATTTGAAAATCAATAACGTCATAAATAAACACATTACTAGTGGCCTTACACAATTTAACGAAGAAATACATGAATTGTGAAGACAATATAACATTACTAATAAATATAAGATGATTGATTGATTGATTTTTGATTTTTCACACAAAAGAAAAAAGAAAAAGAAAATCCATACCGATATAAATTATAGGAATAAATCAAAAATATTTATTTGTGATAATACTTGAATATTTCCATAATAAAACAACGAGAGATGAGATTGTTTGCAGGAACATAATGATAATCATAACTTTGATTCGAAGTCTTTCACCAACTTGTGGTAACGTGTAACTAACAATCCTTTGAGTATTAACACCACCATCACTATCAAGTAACCTAATGAAAAATGAAAGAGAAGGGGCAGGCGGTTGTTGTCGTTCTTGGTCTTGCTGTTGTTGACTTTGTTGTTTTTGATGATGATTTTGCGAATTTAGCGAAAAATATTTCTCTACAATTCATTTTTTGAAAAATAAAATATTTTCCAGAGAAAAAATGGAAAATATGCCATCATATAAATAAATATATCAATCATGTTCTCTTTCCCAATAAAAATACAAATAATTTTTTATTACGCAATATTTATCTATTTTATCATCTGTATAAGCACATTTAAAACTTGTATTCATCAAATTCAAACTTTTTATCATCCCTCACGTTTCATAATTATTATTTATTAAAGTCTATGTTATTTACATTTGAAATAGAAATAAGTAGTGATTCAAAAATAAATTAAACTTAAATATTCAAAAAAATTATTCTTTTATTATTTGGAATACTTCACAATCTTCATAAATAAATTCATTTCTATCTAAAATTGTTTTTTCATAATAATTTTTATTATAAATTCCACGATTTCTAATAATATTTCCACCTGTACTCGAACTGATACTCATATTAGAAATACTATTATTATTATTATTACTATTACTTTTATTATTACTATTATTGAACTTAATGATCAAATCGTTTAAACCAAATCCAGGACCATTAATTGTTTTACAAATTGATTGATGAGAATGATCTTTTAATACTCTACTAATGATTCCATCATATTCAGGATTATCATTATCACCAAATGAGAATATAAAAGCTTCTAACGATCCAGTAAAAACCGAGATTGGACAAGTGTTGGTAGTAGTAGAATTTATATTAATTGGATAATAACCTCCAATTAGAATTCTTTTATTGCTAATTTTTGTAATTATTATTGTTGGTCCTCTATCAGAACATTTTTCATTATAACTTTTAATATTAAATCCATCTTTACTTCCTCTATAAATTAATTTAAAATTATAAATAATTGGATTTAATGAATAAATTGACGACGACGATGAAACAATTTTGTGATGATTACTACTGTTAGTAACAGCAGTAATTAAATTAGTAGAATTGTTATCAATTTGATTTGATTTTTTTAATATTAATAATTCTTCATTTATTTGATTTTTATTTTGTTGCTGCATGTCTTTTTTATTACCACCACCACCACCACCACCACCACCACCACCATTATTATTATTATTATGATTAGAAGAAAATATTGACGATAACGTGTCTGCAGTCGTTGTTGCCGCCATTACCGGTGATGGTAAATGAAGCTTTTTACGTAACGTTAGAAATTTTTTAAAAGGTGAAGATTTTCGACCACCATGTTTTGGTTTATCACTATTGGTGGCGTTGGTTGGCGCATTGCTAGTATCGGTCGTGATGCCAATATTACTAGAATTGTTATTATTATCTAATAAAGTATCATCATCATCATCATCATGATTATTATTATTATCTGATAAATTATTACTGCTATGGTGATTAAGATTAATCTCATTATTATTGTTATTATCGCTATTATTATCATTATCAATGTCTTCTAATACCTCTTCCAAATTATTATGGTTATTAGTATAGTTGAAAAGTTCTTTTCCTGTATCAATCCATCTTGCTATCATAGCAACATGTGTATGATTAATGATTTTTGAATCTTCCAATATTACATTCGGTCTTAATACATCAGGTTTAGGTTGACCATTCTCATTTGAACAATAAAGATAATATTGTAAAGCTGCATTGTTTGTTGTGTCAGCTGGTAGGATTTCTTTGAATGGTAACACATAATCGTAATAATCATTCCTAGAAATTAAAGAAAATTTTATCAGTGCCAGGAATTTTCCTATTTTAATCTTCAAGTCGTCTAAATCTTTTGATGTCCACGTCTTAACGTCAATCTTGTTATTTATATCGATTTCCTTAACATTTGCCCATTTAATCAATATTTTCCAAATAATTCCATCATTAATAAAATAATTTCCATCATTTATTAATAATTTATTAATAAAATTTTCATCCAATGAACTTAGTGGTAAATTGCCTTGAAATATCCAATTAGTTGTATTAATAATTTCTACGCAGTTGTAAAGAAATTCCCCTTTCAACTCCTCATTTTCCATAATTTTTAATAAAATGCTTATAAAATGTTTTTCTAATTTCAAAGATTTCGTCTCAAACACTTCTTTAATTTGTCTCTCTATTCCTTCCAACATAAATTCTCTTGAACACAACCATAAATCTAAAAATTCAGTTCCTGTCAATACCGAATTAAAATTTATCACGCCATAGGAAATATAGCTGTAATAATAATAAATAATAACGAATAATAACAGAATAATATGTCAGTTGGTTTTTTTTTTCCGGAGATAATATATTAATATAACTTATTATATGATTTTACTCACTTAAAAACAATTTCAAATATTTTTGAGCTGATGTGTGATTTATCTATTTCGTAAACATTACCACTTTTTAAATTATTACCTTCCGATAAAATTTTTTTAAAGTGCAAGCTTTTAGAGCTTAATAGCTTGGAATTAGTTTTAAAAATTTTAAATTTTTTGTTATCTTTACTCTCTCTCCCAACCTTTTCATCGTCACCTCCATCAATACAATCATCATTATCGGATACTTTGATTATAACATCATAATAATCATTTTCAATCAATTTCTTTTTAACATCAGCATCATCGCAAGTATTGACGACAGCTGTTGCGGTGGTGATTTTTGAGTCAAAAGTTTGATTTTGTTGACTTTTTTGATCTTGGTTATTAGTATTATTACAATCTGGTATAGTTTTTGTCGATGAATTCATAGATATATCAGTATCAATAGTAGTATTCTTTTCTCCTACTGCTTTGGTAACTATATGACCATGACCACTTGATGGAATACTTTCTGAAATCATTTATATAAATTCAAATTCAAATTTTTTAAAAAACTTTATTTATTTTATTATATAAATATAGAAATTTGTAGAACAAAAAAATAATTAATTATATTTAAGTTATAAATAGGAAAGATCAACAATTTTGTCATAATTTTTCACTTCTATGGTTGGCTCGGTCTAAAGTAGGGATGGAGCGGTTCGGTTCTGGTTCCATGGAACCCAGTTCCAAAATAAATGTTACACGAGATATTATTGTCAACTAATTTTCACTACATATAAAATTTTCTTTAAGGTATTACTTCCTAATATGAAAACAGTCTATGAGTTATTATCTAGTCATTGTCCATATTTAAAGTTGGTCGGTTATTTTTGTTCTGCCAATCACTAAATTTATCAATAGGAATGAAGGAAGGCAAATGAAAATGACAAAAACTGATGCCTGATATGATGAAGTGGTTTTGACCTCACTTCCTTAAATAAATTTTATTATTATTATTATTTAATATCAACAAATGGTCTTTTGGCAAATTGCAAAAGACTTTTTTTGAATTGTAAAAAGACCCTTGACATTATCCTAATAAATCATTTGAATTGTAAAAAATGGTCTTTTGATGAATTGCAAAAAAGGGCTTTGACATTATCCTAATAAATCATTTAAATTGTAAAAAGATTTTTTTGAATTGTATAAAAAAATGGATCTTTGGCGAATTGCAAAAAAAAGGCTTTTGACATTATCCTAATAATCATTTTAAATTGTAAAAAATGGACTTTTGGCATGAATTGTAAATATACACCGGATGGCAATTGTTTTGCCAAAAACTTAATATGTAATTACGAAATTCAATTACGGGTGACAAAATCAATTACGGGTGACAAAATCAATTACGGGTGACGAAATTAATTACGAATGACGAAATTAATTACGAATGACGAAATTAAATGACACCTATTATTATATCTCGTTATACTAGTATAATGACATAATTTTTTTAGAATTATAGAATTTATTCTGTTATAATGACATGTCAGTGTAACGTATAATGCTGGTCAATTTTGATCCGGCATAGGTTTTAAATTTCTGATAGAATAATTAATATGAATGAAATAAAAAAAGATATATAATAAAAATAAAATTACAAAATCACATGATGATGATTCTCATATGACTTCTATATGAACTCCCGTTATAATGACATTCTCGTCATACTGACATTTTTTGCTTGTACGGAGGAGAGCGTTGTTATAACGGGAGTGACTTGTATTATAATTAATTCGTTGTTATTCGTCGCCTGTAATACGGTAATTAATTTCGTAATTATGTTTTTAAAAAGGAAAATGGTAATTAATTCGACAATTACGTATTACGTACTTACAGTAATTAGGCAATTACCATCCCATGTATAGTGTTAATAACGGTTTGCATATCATAGAAAATTTTCACAATAGTAATTAATTCGTCGCCCGTAATTAATTTCGTCACCCGTAATTAATTTCGTCACCCGTAATTAATTAAGTAATTAGGTTTTTAAAGAGTGAAAGTGGTAATTAATTACGTTAATTATGAATTACGTATTTGCAATAATTAGCTAATTACAATCTCATGTATACTGTTCACATAAATAATAAAAAAATACTGATAGGAAATTTATTAATCATTGACAGATAATATCGAAATAGTTAACATAACAGATCCAGATAATCAAAAGCCATCATCAAAACCATTACAAAGTAGACTTGTGATGATTTATTATCGATGACTTTTGTAACATTAGACATTCTACTTCAAGTGTGTGTATGAGAATAGATCTTTTTTATTAACATTAATAATTATTATAAAAACTAAAGTTCCTGTTGAACTGAACTGGTCCAAAACTTGGACATGTTCATGTTCAGTTCAGTACACTAAAGCAGAAGCCCAATTCAAGTTCAAAATGAAACTACACTCAAGTGATATAAATTATAACTTTATTAATAATATTGCAAGGTAGCCTTTCAGTTAACTGACGCATATGGCTGTTGATGGCTTAACTTTGGGCTACTCTTGTTTGTTAATTAGTTGCAGCAAGAAATTCGGTTCTTGTCAATTAATTAGTTTACGAATTTATTTTGGTTTTCGTTTACTGCCTCTTTCTTGCACTTATAAAGCTTTGGAGAATCTGTAAGCACACTCAATGGCATGGAAATAGATAAATACAGCTCTTTTACAAAGCTCAATGGCTTCTACAAAGTTCCTATTATTTACTTTATTTCACTTGTTTATTTTTATTTGGCTGATTGTGCTTTAGTTATTTACTAAACAACTTAAGTAGCTTATTTAACAGCCTTACGTTACAATAACACTGCAATTTTGCTTACTCACAATGTTACTAATCGTTGTTAATACCCACTAGTTACCCAATGTTATCCCTAACTTTTGCTTATGAAACAAATAAAACGTGACCATTTATCAAAGCTCCAAACCCAAGCCAGATTTGATTTTTTAAATTCTTTTTCTTAAAGGATATTACACAAACTATGGTTAATTCAAGCCTATATAAGTATCAATCTGATTATTGATATTGTATATCTTGATTGAAGCAAAATAAATTGATTGAGCTTTATGATTATTACACATATTAATATGCTAAATTTGAACCCTGAAATTTCTCTGTGTCATAATGTATGTAACCTTGCAGAGAGAGAGAGTATCTGTATAATGTTTTATTAAATACATGATATGCAATATGACTGGTATGGGAAAAAATCCATTGTTTGTTCTGTTTAGCATGATTTATGTTCAAAATAAAAATTCATTTATGCTTTTAACAGGAAATAATTCCAATAAAAATAAAATGTTCGAAAAATTTCCAGTGGAACTTTTTTACAAAACTCTTTATTAATATAGTTTAGTTAACAAATCATGGTGTAGAATTTTTGTTCCAACTTTATGGAGAAATCCATTCTATTCTAGGGATAGTATAAGGATATTAATTAGTTGTTTGTTAGTAGAAGATGATAATTTCTTGACAAAAAAAATATATTATACTACCATTCCCTTTGCTAAAAAAACCACCTTTATTTAATTATGGCAGATTTGCCACTATTTTAAACCTAAGCATGATGACTAAATATCTTAATAAGTTATTGCTTATTAAATATAAAAATGGATCATTAAAAGACCATTTGGTAAAATTTATCATAAGCCATTCATATATTGAATGCCTTAACACATCTTTTCTTAATGTTAAAATGATAACTGAACATTCTAAACTTAAGAATTGTTTTCAGAATCTTAAAGAACTTGAAACAACTGAAGACTATAGTCCTAATTTCTTTATTATATCATCAGATATCTGCAATCACATTCAAACATTTAAATTACATCTTAATAATATGGATAATCATTCCAGTGCCAGTGATTTAGCCAGCTTAATCAAAAAACAAAAAAAAGTCAAAAAAATACATACTTATTTACCTAAATCAGCTAAATCAGACGAACTTTGTGGTTTTAATTTAAAAAAATGCAATACTGAGCCATTCCAACTCAATGGTTGAATATCATAGTACGGGATATAATAGTATGGATTTATCAATAATAGAGTTTAAAAATTTGGAGTCATTACATTTAAAAAATAATTAGATAACCAGGGTGTCAGAAGTCATTAAATCTACATCATCCCCAAATATTCAGAAGGTTACAATGGAAAGTTTGGATATAAATTTTTTTTTAAACATGTCAGTTTTTGTTAAAATCAATGGAAGTACACTGAAATCTCTGGAGATTGGTGGAAAACCAGCCAGTTATAATCTCCAAATTTTTTTTCAGTCAATTGGAGAAAATTGTAACAATCTAGAGAATATGACAAATGTTATATGCCAATAATTTGGATCAAGAATTAATTAAAATATTTGATAATTGTATTTATTTAAAACAAATTTATCTGAGATTAATTTATGGTTCTCTCATTGAAGCTGACAAAATAATCAATGCATTGGATCAAACACTGCCAAAACATCCGAGAATAATTAAATTTGGAAATAATATTAATATTTCTGATCAATCATTAAATAATTTAAGCAAAAAGTGGTTGGGTCCCAAACTATATTATTAAGTTTAGTATTTATAATCAAAATGTTAGAGGAAAATCACACCTCTTCAAGCTATTTAAATATAAAAAATTGGGATTTTGAAATATGACGTTACAGATGAGAAACCTATTGCTGATTATAATAGTCATTATTATGTTCTTGATCCTGATCCTTATGGTCATGACTATGATGATTCTTGCTATTATGAGGAGGAAGGGATTTATCGAAAATTAAATTTTAAACATGGTCACAAGATTTTAATTTGGAAAATTTCTTTAAATAATATTATTTTGGTTTTATTCTTAAAAAAAATTATTCTTATTCAAATATAAAAACATAAAATTTATTCTCACTTGAAATAGGTGAATATAAAAATTTCTGATTGTCCAAGTTTTCATTGTTTTGATTTCTGTTAAATGTTGAAGATTTATTATTGTTTTCATTGTCATTACTGGTACCACTTCTGACATTCATGTGATCACCTGTTTGGTGTCAATGTTGTTGAATATGGCATATATCAAGATGTGCTTTATGTATCTGGAATAATAATAATCAATTATTTATATATATCTAAAAAATAAATACAAATCTTCTTGCAAGCCTTCCAGAATTTCCATCAACAACAACAACTTCACAACCAAAGCCAATACCAAAAATAATCTTACTACTCCTAATAAGTTTCCAGTGCAATATCAAAATTTTTTGAATGTTGACAAATTGATAACAGGCAGTTGACATGTCCAATCTCTAGTTGATCTCAGGTCTTGTTTGACTTGATTGAATGTTTTGATTGATGGTTGATATTGCTTGTGAGATGTAAATAATGATAGACCTTTTAAAATTGCTGTATATGTTTCCTGAGTTGGAAGCATTGAAAGTCTTTTCATATATTTGCCAAAAAAATAACATTAATTAATTAATTAATTATTATCATTATAAGCAAATAAATTTTTACTTCATTAAATAATCTAATTGACATTTTAGTTCTCCTTCATCAATACATTCAATTATCAATTGATTCCAAGCTTTAGCATTCTGTATTTTTTTACCAATTTTATAGCATCATCCAACTTTTCTTTGCTTAATTTAATTACCTTTTCTTTTATACTTTCTAATGTTTTTTTTATAGTAGTAGTAGGAAATGAAGATGAAGATGAAACATTTGGATCAGCATTATTAATATCACGACAGCACTAGCACTTGTTTCTATTTTTATTGAATTATCATCTCTTCTAATACAATTGTTGGAGAATTGGCAATTTAAATTTATTATATCCAGTCAAGTTAATATGAAAATGATACTGATTTTTCTTGGTGGTATTAATGATGGCTTGATAATAAACAACGTGTTGATACTACTACAATAATGTTGTAGTTGATTTATTACTACAGTTTAGTAAAAAAATATTATTGTAAATTTTACATATATATAACATTATTTACAAGCTTATGGAAAAATTTGAGAAGATTATCAAATGATCAACTGAAGTATCAGAAGATCTTTGTGCGTAACACCCATGGGCATATTAATACCAGACAAAGTCACAGGGAACTATAGGTGTTGTGCGTGAAAATGAAATTTATGTGAATGTGGCTTCATTTCACCTACTGAAACAAAGATTTACAATTAAAATGTGACGTTTTGTTATTTTAACTAGTGTTGGTTTCCAAACTAGAAAGTTTCGCAATCGTGCGAAAGTCAAAAGGTTTCGCCATAAGTCGAAACTAGTTTTGATGTTTGACTATTGACTTTTTGATTTTAGCTTTGATTTCGCTTCTTTGAAATAGTTTTGACGACCAACACTAATTTTTTCAAATTAAAAATCGATCAAAGATATGCGATCTACATTTTAACCAGTTAACCAGTTCCAACCTCTCTAGATGATGAAATGGAAGAAAATTCTTAGTGTGGTTATTATTATGTATCTAAATTTATAAAATTAAACAACGACACGAGCGCCTAATTATATAAAGATCTTAAACGTTTTGATTATTCCAGAAATGAAAGTCTTTATGACTCTGAAAAGATTCATTCAACTTGAAAGATGGGATGTTACGGCAAAAGGTTCACATGGAATTACGAATATAATTCTGTATTTGAAGGTAAGCATATCAAAATTTAAAAATATTTAAGTCATATGGGATTGAAACAAAGCTGCTCAACATAAAAATCATATAGGCAAAAATGAAAATTTTTTGATTCATTATTATTATTAATGGAATTTTTCTTTTGAGTTTCTACACAATTCAAATAGCATTTATTGAAACTGTTTATTTTAATAATGACATTGTAACGAAAAATGAAATAAATAGTAGGAGGAATGATTGCAAAAATGATTAAAATTAAAATATAGGATAATAAAATAAATAAGTTATGTATATAATAATAATTATAAAAAAATTAAAGACTTGACTACAATTGTGTTAATCCGAACATGAGAGTTCGTATTCTAGTTGACGCAATTCTCTATTATAATTTTTAAGTTTACTTTGAGATTTTTCCATTTTGATCTCCGTTTTGGCTGCTTCCACGTCACCCATAGTATTATAATACGAACCATTGAAGTAGTATTCTTCTTGAGCTTCGCTACCAAACTCACTAATAACTTCGATCGATGAACTGTTCCAATGCATTTGTCTCTCTGCTAGCAATGTCGAGTACCGTAGCGTTTCGGTGTCTATAAGAACTTTTAGTTCGTTTATACGATATTGTTTTAATGTTCGCTTAACATGTTCATTAAATATGTTTATATCGTTTTTTTTTACAGCAAGAGACCATTGTTTTTTTACACTGGATGTAAAATCACAAGTACAAGTACAACCTTCAAATTCTCCATCACTTCGCATATGAATACTTAAAGGCGTTTTTTTGATAAATCGGTGGTAACATTCTTCACAGAATGCAAACTCACCTCTTTCTGTCCAATTTGGTGAATACCACGCTCGACCATCATTGACTTCGTTGTTACCTGGACAAGGAAGCATACTTTCGTCTTATAATGATAAAAATCGGTTGTGATAGATTTATTAAAGAAACCAAAGTGACAATTTGGGAATACTTATATTAGAAAATCCATCAGATTTGTCATATAAATTTCCAAATTAATTTATTTACACAACACGAGTATTGATTAATTAATATATTAATATTAACAAACAATTGAAAATATTTATGGAGGAATTGTTTGTGTTTGAAATTCCTTGTTCTCTCGAAAAAGTTTGTGGTCAACAAAAATTTTTAACTGCCCAAGTGGTAAATTAAGTGTTGCCTTTTTTATTAAAAAAAAAAAACCATTCCTAATTGCTTTAATTGGCATTTTCAAAAAGAAAACGTTATTGTATGTTTAAATTTGGTAAATTACACAAAGTACAAAATGATAATAATAAACTATTTACCATCATCTATCTAATTGTAAGCAATTTTTACCATCCATTCAGACTTGGTGGTACCATTTCTGTTATTAATAAACTTTATAAAGTGGCCATTTACAAATTGGTTGATCAGACTAATGTTGATATTACATCACCAACTAAATTTCAAATCACGTGGTATAAGTTAATTTTTGTTGAGACAGCATGTTGTTAGCTGATTTAATACAAAAATATCATTATGATTCTTTTAAATCGAAGCAATTGAAGAAATGCAATATTTTATCAGTGAAGATAAAGCGTCAAAGTTATATGCAAATCAAGAACATCAAAGAAAATACTAAGGCTTTCAATCGACCTGCCACTCACAATTACACCAACCTTTAATTTTTATCTTTAAAGATAACGAAACTATTGAATTTAGTTATTGACGTGACCAAAGTATTGACAAAAGATAGTTTCTCACCAGGCTGAGTACATAACCCTTATGAGACATTTGACTAAACTACTAGTCATATGTTAAAAGTCAACGTCAGTTATGAAATTTGTTGCTAAATTAGAATTTTGCCTCTTTATGTCAGCAGTTTGATGAAATAGTAAATTAATTAAGTTTTTCTATACACTCTCAGACAAAAGTATTTGGACTAGTGATACGATCCGTGGATGATCAATTCCGGATAATACTCCAAAAATGCAAAAAAAATAATATCATTTTTTCCTATTTTCACTTTGTAAATGTATTTTTACTGCATTTATTTTGTATTTCAACTGAAGTCTGAATCCAATGAAAACAAAATAGAGTTTTGACATTTCAGGATCTTAATTTTTAACTTTGTATATGTATACATGAGTCTGAAAAATAAAACTATAATTGTACATGCTATTAATTATGTATGCTAGGTGTAGTGCATCGAATCTTTGATCCATGACCAAGAATTTTTTCATATATGGGAGCTTTTCTAGCAAAAACACCCTTCGACCTCATCTGACCAAATTTGTGTTTTTTACATAACATTAATCTATTATATAATTCATGATCAAAGGTAAAATGTTGATTTGATGAGGTCAATGAAAAGTTGAAAAGTAAATAATATATTAGACCGTATAATGAAAAACCAAGCCTATGTATTAAAAACATTCAATAAAGGAATACTATATTAATTTTTTTATTTATTATAAACATTTTATTTTTGTCAATTCAAAACTCTTTTTAAAAATTTGCGTAACGATCTTCAAGCCAATATTTAATTTTTGCGTGATTATCTGGAAGGAAGATCGTCACAAAAATCAAATGTCCAAAAACAAATAATCCAAAAATGTGTGGTGATAGAGTATGTCCTTCATCACATAAACTTGGCATTATTAAGAAACATCTTAAACATCAGAAAAAATCAACATAATGTTGTTGTTATACAGCTATTAAATAAAATTCCATGACCTGGTATTATTCCAACAAAGTTTAATTATAGAATTTTACGTGTTAATTACATTACAAATGGTTGGTACGGTTGTGTAGAAATTGATCGTTTTCAAGCACCTGTTACCTTCTGTACAATGTTCCCATCTACATTTATTAAAATAGCTAAGAACATGTTGCAATTACAAGTGTGATACAGATTTGTTATCGTCAAATGAATAAATTTTTTACTTGCTTTTTAACTCACTTCTATATTATATTTGTAGAATCTCATCAAATTGACAATAGAGAACTACAAGGAACTGATTGATGCAGAGTCACAATTGAAAGAGCAAGCAGTATTAATAGTATTAACTGGATGTTACCAGACACCTAAATTGGTATAAATTTATATTTGTTACATGAGAATTTCCAACAAATGATTTTGTTTACTACAAATTTATAATGTTTTTTTTCAAGAATAATAACGTCAATAGCAATCGATAGTAACTTATCAACAATTTTGCATAATTGAAAATTATATTTTTTTAAATATAATGAGTTTGAAGATTCTAATAGTATGCATATAATTCTTGTAATGTGATTATATATAGTATACAAAACTTTTATTTTTGGAAAAATTAGCAGTGCTAACAACCTCAATTGAATTAATTCCATCGTTACCATTACCATTGTCATCCTCAATATTTAGAATATCATCTTGTCCCACCTCTTACTTTTTTCATTAACGATTAATTGAAGTTTGTTAATCCAAATAACTATTAGCAAGCTAATTTATTATTTAATAATAATATAAAGGAAAAAGTGTTGAAAGGATTGATGAGTTGAGTGAATTGTCAATGGATGATTAGTTAAACTTCTGTTATATTAATATGTAATAACAATAATAATATTATTATTTCGGAAATGTCAGATTTGAATGTCACCTAATAATATTAAACATAAAATATATTACAAAACTATTTATTATTATTATTTTTACTACAGTATTATATATTAACATCACCATCATCATCTATCTAAAGGTAAAGAAGAAAAAGAAAAAATTCATCATTACTGAAAATACTGTACAAAAATTCAATAAATATTTTTTTAAAAAAAATTTGCATTCTAAAATGATTAATATTATGATGATGAGTTGAACTTCCTACTCATTATAATGACTATGGTCATTATTGTTGGTGTTATTAGAATTTAATCTATTAGTGAAGGAGATCTGCTGGTATTTCTAGGTGATGGTAATCTACGAAATAAAGACTAGGTAAAGATTTACTATTTAAATAAATTATTTGATGATGGTGATGATGATTCGGTGTATTCTTTTATGGTTTTATGTCTATGTAATTTATTACTAATTTTTTGTATAGGTTTATAAACCGATTTCCTAAAGTTCTCAAATTTACTCTCCTCAACTGAGAATGCGAATCCCGTAAATGATTGCCTTCTACCAGAATTCATGTGTACAAATTGTTCAGTTGGTTTAGCAGGTCCTATTGGTCTATTATTTTTTGATTTGCCAATTTTTTGTGGTGTTTTTGTATTTTCTTTCTTTATTGCTGTTGTTGTCATTGAAGTCTGTTCAGTCATTATCAAGTTTTCGTGTATATCACTAGTTGAATAACTTGCAACATATCCTCCCGTTTCAGTATTAATTGGCAATCTATCCTCTTCCTCTTCAACAATTGTTTGTTTCTTTCTACATTTCTTTTCTAGATACACTTGTTCACGAATAATATCCGTGTCAGTTGGCCAATATGATTCATGAAGATACTTTACAACAAATCTTGGCATAATACTAAATATAGTTGCAATAGTAATCGCCAACCAAAAATCCAAATCAGAAAATAATATCATGTCCACTCTAAAGAATCCTATTGAGTACACTATGGAGTAAAGCTCTACCCATAAATAAAATGATAAAATACTACCACAAATAACCAAAAATCCTATCCATGACCAATTCAAAATATTCAATCCAACATATAAATTAGTTGTCACCACCACAGATCCTGCCACCAGAGTTCCTAAATCCTCTAAACTGTTATTTGTCAACCCATTGCCATGAGATTGTCCAAATTGAAGCAACCCGAATGGAACAAAAAAACATACAAGTGATTGATATACTGCATCTAATACATATAACCAAAACTTGAGTTTTGTAAAATCTTGTTGTAAAATACCTCGTTTATAAAGTTGTGGGTTTTTTAAAGAGGTTTTAGAATCAACATCTTGATCAAATGCACCCAGATACATTACAGGAATTGCTGTAAAAACAAGATTATAAAGCAAAATATACGTGTAATCATAAAGATATTGTGCAGAAAACCCAGCCCAGGTTTGATACCAAAACATTGCAATTGTCCATACAATATTCTTGTAAAAAAAACATGAAATCATTTCTGCTATTCTGATATATGACCAACGTCCATGAACAAGCAAAAGCTTTTCCAAATATCTAAATTGTGCAAATGCAAAATCTGCAGACATTGCTGCTTGCCGCCCCTCCTCACCAGCAATTCCAACTCCTATGTTTGCTTCTTGTATCATGCTAACATCATTAGCACCATCTCCAATTGATAATGTCATCACATTCAATCCATTTTTCACCATAGAAACTACTTGTGCTTTCTGCAATGGGCTCACACGACAACAAACAACACTCTCACATCTTTTACCAAGATCTAACAAATATGGTTTCACACTATCATCTAATCCATACTTGAGTGTTTCGCCATCTATGATCAGTGCATGCTTACTTTTCTTTTCGTCTTGATTTTCGAAAAAATTTTCAATTGCTTCATTTATCTGGGAAAGTATACTTTTTTTGTCTGATGCATTTATGATAATTAGAAGCATATCATTTTGTAACAGGCTACAAGAAAATCCAATATTAATGGCTGTCTCCACTTTATCACCTGTCAATACCCACAACTTAATACCAGCTTGTGCCAATGTGGCTATAGTTTCTGGCACGCCCTCCTGAAGTCGATCTTCTATCGCAGTTCCTCCCATTAATATCAATGAATGTTCAATCATTTCACACACCTTTTCTATCTTTTCTTCTCTATCATTAATACTAGATGCTGCTTCTGCATATTTTGTTGACCATACACTATACTCTTCTTCTGATATAGTACGATATGCTATACAAAGTGTTCTAAGTCCTTTTAATTTTTATTTTTTGTAATTTTTAATATAATTAATATATATTATATATTGGATATATTGGATATATGTTTATATATAAATACCTTCTTTAGCGAAAACTTCAAGATCTTCTAAAGTTTCTTGTCTTAATTCTGATTGAGATCCTTTTTCTAAACGTTCATATATTACACTATCAGCACCTTTACACAATAAAACTATTCCTCCGTCAGGTGAACGTAGAATGACTGACATTCTTTTTCTGGTGCTATTAAATTCCAAGACATTTAACAATATAAACTCTTTATATTCACCCATCACTTCAATTGCTAAAGTATCCTGGCACCGTTCAAGAAATACAAATCCAACATCTCTTGCACAGCTAACTAAAGCAGCCTCATCTGGTGATTGAGCTTTATAATCAATTTCATAAGGATCATTTTCATTGGGATGTTCAACTAGTACAGTGTGACAAAGTGCTAATGCGGAAAAGAAATTTTGGATAGCTTTTGATTGTTGCTCCATAACTTTTAAATCCTGGTATAATTTTGAATCAATGAATGTAAGTTTTTGGGAGGTGTATTTATTTTCAAATAAATTTGACATTTCTTTTAACATTAATTTTTTCTCTGCCTCCAAATCAACTTCATCATCATCATCATCACCATCACCTCTCATCTTTCCACCACTATTAAGCCGTTCTTGTAATTTTGCACCACGCATAGCATCTGTTTCACCTAATCCATATGCAACACCATTGATTGTACATTTACG